CTGTCTGTCTTTCTCTCTGTCCCCCCCCAACCACAATCTCCCTATCTCTTTACCCCCCTCCCTCTCTATCTCTCCTTTCCCCATACTCTCTATCCCCCTCCCCTCCCCACCGTCCTCTTTTATCTCAATCTTACGAATCAAAGTGGAAGTCAACGTCCTTACAAAGAGAAGTCAAGCAAGTACGTACGAGGGTACAGTTACTGTGGTGTGATTCACAAGGGTCGTCAACCTTTTGCTGAATGAAACTTCTTCTATCCCTATCAGCCCTATGCAACGAAATTGTGACTACGCTTCAGTATCTCCATGAGGCACATTGTGAAACAATAACGAACGAATGGGATAAAAATAAATCATGATCTTCACAATACTGATTTTTGAGTCATTGGATACCTACAACTTTGACACTGACCCCCACCTCCCAACCCCACCCCCCTTCCCACTCCAGCCCCGATCTTCGTATCGTCGCCATGTGTTCGAATAACCCTGTAGGTGGTCAGTTTGCCTCCTCTGACACTAACTAAATCTTTCCTGAAGAAAACTATAAATTTCATAGCTCTTTTTAGAAGCAATTTTCTCAATGAACAAGGTAGGGGGAGGGGATGACAAAGACAAATGGGACAGGACGTTAAGAAATACTATTGTTAAGTAATGTATTCCACTCGTAGAATTGCGCAAGTGACAGTTGTGCTCAAACTCTGAACTTTGATGGTAATAGTACTAATAGTAACAGATTGCTAGTGATTTGATATGGGATACATACTCAAAATTTGCTGAATGTACTTGACCCAGAGGTTGTGAAGAAATAATAAAATAGATATTTCACCATCAGCAGTATACACCATGAATTTTACTGACGTCTGTGGTGTAAAGGTTAGGCTCTTCGCTGCCGCACGCAGGAGGTCCGAGTTCAATTCACCAGAGGGGAGACAATTTTTATCAAGCAACTCGGTCTTTCTGCTGGGATGTTGTATCCCTTTCAGACTTGGGTTGGCCCTGATAGGCAGGGTCAGAAGCCCGCCTCTTAAATTATTTAAACTGTGT